GGAGGATAAGAATTTGCGTTCAGCAGAGGTCAACATAAAACTGTGTGGTCTAATTGTGCATATAGTTTTCATCTATTTTCTTATCCTCTGTACATCACAATATCATCTGTTATCACTAATAATAAAAATATTGAATATGTATACACTATTCTTTCTAGAAGAACATGTCCAAGGATTTGTAGCAGTTTCTATAAAGTGAAACACTGTGAAATCACCCTTGTCGAGTCACAACCTTCTAAGTTTACTGTGACCTTCTTATTGCTCCTACAATCATTTTAAAATGTATCCCAGCCTGAACTCCATCGTCTTCACTATCCTATGTTCTCAACGTAAGTCTCCTTTTTATTTTTGGACATGATTTATGTTGGGGATTGAGGTTTTTTATGATGTTTCCATTTGTGAGAGCAATTAACCAGGGGTATTTATAGTTCATAGGGAGTGGCAGCAATTTCATTCAACCACATTTTATTAATCTGTGGTATAAACGATACTGGACTATTACTGCAATAGTTTAGGATAATGTCTGTTTGTGTATTAGTAAACATTTTTGTTGGGGGTTAGCTTTTTGAGCTAGCAAGCGAGCTCAGTTATCCATATGAATGCAATTAATATGCAATTTAAGATTGACCATATAAAATGTTCATAATGCAACATATGCTTATTACAAATTTAATAAATCAAACCAATATCTTTAGCCTATTGCCAAAATACTCTCAGGCTGCCACCATCGGAAATGTTTAGGTTTGGGCAAATCCGACACTTCCTACAGTCGATAAAGTTGCCTGATGCTGGCACTCCGTTGAGGACATTGTATGAAAGATGGTGCCTAGGAGCCTCAGGTTTTGGAGGGGGGATCTCTATAATTTATGCGGCTCAGTTGGGCTCATTTACGAAATTGTCTTATATGGAAGCTTGGGAAACGGAGTTAGGAGAAGTTCTTACGATAGATGAATGGAAACAGTGTACCATGAGGTTAACAATGGGGATGTTCAATGTTTCCCTATTAGAAGCCAACTATAAAGTCTTCTCTAGATGGTACCTAGCAAGGATAGCTACTATGTTTCCAGGGTCCAGCCCCTTATGTTTCAGAGGATGTAATCAGCAGGGCACGATGATCCATGTTTGGTGGCACTGCCCAAAATTGCATTCCTTCTGGAATCGCTTTTTCGCTCTGCTTTCAAGAATCCTCCAGGTACATGTTCCAAGAGACCACGAGTATGTGCTACTGAATAAACCAGTTATGGGGATCTCTAAGGCACAGAGCAAACTATTATTTTGTTTTTTTCTAGCAGCTAAGACATCAATAGCTCGATCCTGGCAAGCCGAAAGGGTCCCATTCTCAATGGTACTATCTAAATTAAATTGGATCATGACACACGAGAAGCTACATAGCATCTTACAGGATAGATACTCAAATTTCCAAGCGGTTTGGGACCCATGGCTGTCACATCTAGGAATTCTGAATTCTCCGTGTATCTTGTCAGCTAACCCAGGTTAACATCGACTAAGAACCCCGGAGCTTAGGAGTCTCAATCCCTCTATTCTGTCTTTCTTTCTTTTTCCTTGTCCTTTCCTTTTTTTATCCTTTTCTTTATAAAGCCCATGTTTCCGTTTTGGACCTTTGGTGCGCGATGTGAACGCACACGCACCAAAGGACGCTATCATATGTAACCCCCAGTAATTAATAATAGTATCCCTAACGATAAAATGGAAACTATCATTACATTATCCCACTGGTAAAAACCAGAAGTCAGTAAACCTGAATGATGGGCAGCTAATAAGATCAGAAAGGGGCACAGCAGAGCTAAGACGGGGAGAGGGGATACAATGCTGAGATTATAGGTTTGTTTTGATATGTTACTGAGCTACATATGACATGTGTATGTTATAATTTGTTTACTGTATAAAATGGAAACTAATAAGAATTTTGAAACCCAAACAAAAGAGATCTATCATTCCAAAACATTGTGGATTCAGTAAAAAGTGATTGAGTGTGTATTCTTGTTTTTGGGTGCATGCTCTAACTGCCATTGGAAAGTTTGGTCAGCGGTTTTGGACTTCTCTCACAACTTGCAAACTACATTTACATACAACCTTATTCAGTAAAGAGAGCAAATTATTAAACCCCCAGGGCAAAAAAAAACGCCCCTTGCAGTGGGGCTGCCCCCGTACTGCAAGGTTGAGCTGCTTATTAATGTCTAGGGGACCTATATAAAGCAGTTTTACTTACCTGATCCCCGCTCCCCCACAGTTGGCTTTTACCTTGTCCCCCCTACGCCACAGCTTGTAGACTATTGGGGCTGTGGGCCCTGCATGGTACATGATGACATCAGCAGGCCTCTGACCACCAGAGCAGAGGGGGGAAGAGGCTGTGGGTGCTGGTCTTGGAGCCTGTGGGAGTGGATATCAGGTAATTAAAAGCGCTTTACACAGGTACCCTAGACATTAACGACCAGTTAACCCTTGCAATGCAGGGGTAGCCCCACTGAAAGAGGAGATTTTTTTCCCCCAGACATAGGCTTTGCATGCAAGTACTCATGGCAACCAATCCAAATTCACTCTGTTGCAGTTACACCAGGAAAAACTTGATTTGTAATTAGTTACAGTGGGTTATTACTAGACATGTGCACTGACAAAAAATTTGTTTAGTTTCGTTTCGTTTTAAATTCGGATTTGTGTTATTTCGTTTTTCGGGATTCGAGTGTGAAAGTTAATTCGGATTCGGACGAAATTCGTTATCGGTAGGTTGTTCGAACGTTCGTTTCGTTTTTGTTTCTTATTCGTTTCGTTCATTCGTTCGTTCGTTTGCAGCAAAGTGACATTTGAGGGGGGAAAATGTTGTTCTCCTTCTCTAATGTCACTTTGCTCCAACGAACGAAACGAATAAGAAACGAAAACGAAACGAACGTTCGAACGAACTACCGCTACCGAATTTTGGAAACGGAAATTCGGATTCGTTTGCATTCGTTATATCTGTAATTCGGAATTCGGATACATCCGAATGTCCGAATTTCCGAAAATTCGTCCGAATTTCGATTCGGAACGAAACGAATCGCACATGTCTAGTTATTACACCAGCACACTTTATCAAATGAGAGCCTGAAGGATTTGAAGGCTGAAGAACCTAAGCATGGAAAGAGCCGGAATAAGGAGATGTGTTTCCGCAAAATTTGCAGCAATGAGCAGATTCTCAACTGGTGGGTCGTGACCCAAAAGTGTGTCGCGACTCCATGTTCAGTGGGTCACCGCATAACTTCCACTTTTCTAGGTGAGAGAGGCTCTTCAGCCTCCCCCTGGTGCAGCACTGTCAGTTCTCGGGCCAAGCAGCCATTCAAAATATGCTGCCCGGTGCCAAGTGTCGGCTTGAGGTTGGGTGGGATGGGGCAATGGCCGCGAGGGAGTTCCATCCATACATGCATTGATTACAGCTCCCTTGCATGCCCTGTAAAGGTGCCCAGACCGGAGTGATGTCACATTCTGGATCCCGCCACCTCTATAAGGCATGCAAGGGAGCTGTGCAAGCAATGCACATGTAGATGGAGCTCCATCACACCACAGCAGCCCACACTGGACCCTGGGCTGACGATCCACTCCAGTTCTTGTAAGGTAGGGAGACTGGGTGAATATTAAAAAAAAGAAAAAAAATTGTATTATTTTTTGGAATGTATATGTGTGACAATGTCTGTGAGTGTGTGAGATTGTGCCTGTAAATGTGTGAGATTGTATCTGTCAGTGTTTTTGAGGGCCTGTTCACACTAGTGCAGTGCGTTAATTGCACAGTCCTGTGCTATTAACGCACCGTACCACGCAATTGCACCTATCGCGCATTCTGGTACGGGAGGTGTGTTGCGTTGTCAATCATTTGAATGGCACCCCAAATGCACCTCTCACCCACAGTTTGATTGCCCGCATCGGAACGCGTTGTACCGCAATGCTGTGTGTTCCATGCAGTGCAATTTGGGTCGTGACTTAATGACCAAGGACAAATGTGGGTCCTGAGCTTACACAGATTGAGAACCACTGATCTAGACAGATATAATGGCATCAATTAATGCAGCTCTGTAATAATTAATACATCATTAAATATATATATTTTGAATGCAAATAGTGCAAGTACCTGCATTTTTGGGAGGTAAACAGTTCCTATATATGTATTTTATATTACTTCATCAGTCAAACCATCTTGTTTAGTAACATACCCTTAGCGGTATAATGACATGGTGATAGAAGTATATCCAGGGCCGGAGTTTCATCATTGGGGGGTGCAGGCAAGGAGTAACTGGGGTACTCTTCCATAGCTGCTTTCAGAAGTTAGAGATTAGTTTTAGTAAGCTTATATGAGATGACTGTTTTTACTGATGATGGGGAAAAAAAGAATATTTAACAACTACACAGGGAAACCCGTATGTCTGATGTTTATAGGTACAGGCCTACTGTGCATAATGATATATCCTGCCCGGGACATATACACTGTATTCACATTAATTTCCGCACTGCAATGTTGTATCTAACCAGGTCACTTTATACATGATCACATCCATCAGTACTATATCAGGTTCTGTATCTGATACTGCTTAGAATATCCTACTTTCACCTGTGGATTCGAAGTATTGGGGACTCAGCAGGGAGTAGATGTTTCTATCTCTTCCCTGTGTGCTCATGTGATTGTGTAACACTTTTTACCTGTGAGCTGCAGAGGAGGATCCCACGCATCTCTCTCATGCCTCCTTAATTCCAACGATTACCATGAAAGATGGCTTAAACAGGCTGTGCCTGGTGGCTGAAAGACACTGGGCTAAACTTAGAGGTAATTTGGCACCTTATGGGATTCTGTTTTTTGTCCTGGATAAAATCAAATTGGAAGACAACTGCGAAAACCACCGTTGCAGATAAAAGTAATGCTTGATTCTCAGCAGGACTTGATATCACTACTGGAAAGCACAATTCATCATAAAAATACTAGAGTTTCTACTAAAGGAGATGTATGATTAACTGTTTACTCTCCAGATGCTCACCGTTTCTATATCCTTAGCTCCAGTGCGCTCCAAGATTTGTGACAAAATTATTTCCCGATCCTTCAGTACCTTCATTTTTTCCTTGATGAAATATTTTGGGATTGGAACCTCCAAACTTTCCTTTTGGAAAAAAAGAAATGTTTCAGTATCCAAGCTAAAGAGGGAATATACAATTACTGTCTTCCCAGTCTGTCTCATAAAGACTCTTACAGCATGCATGCCAGGCTGCCAGACCACTTGTAGCCACTCAAGCCACTCAAGCCTTTACACAGATACAATCACTGACACCATGCACATAAAACAGATTCATTTATTTAATTTTTTCTGCGGTTTATAGAGCACCAAGTCCTTATGTAGAGCTTTACAGAGTACAAAAGACTATTCACCTTGGTACCTGTCCCTGTTTAAAATTACCTAACATGAAGTCTTCATTCTACTAAACAAGGTGAAAAAAAGTGTCCCCTTTACCCTTTGACTTCTTACCTTAACTAATTACCCCTCATACTTTATCACCCTAACCGTAAAACTTAACACAAACCCTAATATGTAACCTCTGACCTAGCACTTAATCCTTTAGGCCACGTTCACACCTGGGTGATCAGCGACCACGCGGCAATCATGCACGAAAACCGTGCGGTCATGGAATCGCACACCACCACTGATGGCACCCCAGTCACGCAAGGCAGATTGCGCAATTTCCCACCACGATTCCGCCCGTGCAATCGCACACGATCGCGTCTGTATAAAACGCACTCGGTGAGTGCCGTGAAAAAAGGCACATGTACCTTTTTTTCAGCCATTGCCGCGCAGATATAACCCCATTGAAATCAATGGGGCTGCACGGCAACCGCTGTAGTGCAACCGCTTATGATCGTGCGGTCCCGGGACCACCCAAGTCTGCACCTGGCCTCAAAGTTGACTTGAACCCAAAAATCAATAATTGTTATCTTTTAGGGAACATCTAGAAAAGTTAGTTTTGCCTAAGCAATAACCTAAAACAGTGGTGGCGAACCTTGGCACTCCAGCTGTGCCAAAACTACAAATCCCAAGATGCATCTGCCTCTGGGAGTTATGACTGTGGCTGCCAGAGCCTTGCAATGCCTCATGGGACTTGTAGTTCCAAAACAGCTGGAGTGCCAAGGTTCGCCATCACTGACCTAAAACATTCGCCTTTTGTCTTAAATTTTACCTTATGTACTTCTTGGTATGTGAGTGTGGCTTGACGCTCCTATTCTGTGGTCTAAAAGCTGTATATCTGAAGTGTGAGATCATGTAAGGTACTATCGACTCTTTTCGACTCTTATCAAAATTTTGAGTGAGATTTGGTGATGTTGCTACTGTTCTGTTCAGTCTTCTCCTGAGGACTTGTTGAAGAGGAAGTTATTGTATGAAGTACTTAAAGGAGAACTATGAGGTGAGTGGATTCTCATAGTTAGAGCTGACCTGTGACAAAGAAGCTATCACAGGTCGGCTCTATTGATCGGGAAGTGAGCAGAAACATGCCGCCGATCCGCTCACTTCCGGATCGTCTCTCTGCAGAGAGTGGTGACTGTCAGTCACCGCTCCCAGCAGGGATTGCCTCTCCCCCTCTCTGATCCTCCAGTGCTGAGTGGAGGAACGAACGGTGGAGGGGGGGGGCATAGCTGGCTCTGCCTCACACAGCTGGGTGGATCCAAACAGTATTGTCTGGATCCGTTCCTGGTGCGGCGCTCTCTGTATATTGTGGGCAATAACCTGCTATATACTGAGCTTTGGGTCAAGGGAGGAGGTTACCGTAGTATATGTCCTCCCGTGACCCTAAAGAGAGCTATGGGGAAGAAAAACACTTACCCCCATAGTTCTCTTATAAGGACCAGCAGTGCTAAAATCTCCCTGCTTCTGCGTCATCTATTCTGTTGATGTGTGCATCTGTCACTTCTCCTGTTGCTTCCTATCATAACCCCAACAGTTATTGGGTCACCAATAATTAGCAAGGCAGCTCTGACATGAAGAAGCAAAGCCCTGATCCGCTACCAAAATGGCCCCCTCCACATAGAGACCCAGCGTGAAATAAGGCAAAAATCAGCTTCAGTGAGTCCAGAGACAATTCTGGTGACTGGTCACTTGTCCATTGCTTTCTGTTTTTTTGGTCGCAGCTTCCACAGAACAGGTAATCTTTAATGGAACTCTAAAATATAACTCTTAACCTAGCTATAACATTTGACCCTATTTTAACTTCAACCTAACACTGAAAATCAACAATCAATCTTAAAGATACCTTGTTGCCAGACCATTTGTTTTACAAAAATCTACTCATAAGAGTTTATGTGCACTTACATATTTGACGCATCTTATTTACCTGTAAATGCCTCCCTTCTGTAGACATTTAAAAGCCCTGAGACTTCTGCTTGGCATTGCTATCTTGGATATGATGCCAACAGCCTCAGCAGACTAAAGCTATCCATACACTAAAATATTTATTTAATTTACCCTGCGGGCTGAGTGAAAGATTCTTCCATTAATGCTAAACAGTGTAAATGATCAAATCTCCCCAGCTGGGCTATTGTATTTTGCAGCTGATTGGCTGCATCCACTGTTGGGCCAACAATTCTGGGCCTGGCTCCGTTGACAAAAGAGTATATGACTGTTGAGCCAGCAGGGCCACCCAGTGTTTTACAAGTGAAAAGAAAAAAAACAGAAAGGAGAAACATTTGCAAGTAAGCATTTGAAATACATGATTTTTCTGTGCTTTTACCTGCATTTTGTTAAGTTGCTGCCAAGGTCTACTAAGTGACCCTATGCTTTGCAGGTGCTGTGCTATTACTTTACCTTTGAGCCCCTCAAGAAGCAACATGATATACCTGGTACTTCTAGCTATGAAGGAAGTATTCTTCCTCCCATGATGCTTGCCAACTGGCTGCGTAGGCACCGAGCGCTACCACATGGGAAAGGGGAGAGAGTGCTAAGCAGTGACGTGCCATGCCTTCTGTGCTGGGGAGGCATCCCCCAGCCCGCGGAAGCTCTGCTACCGTCCCGCCTATGCTCCGCCCCATCCCACTGAAGCCCCGCCCCCAGCTCGGTAACCAAGCTGCATGGGGAGGAAGAAGGGAGGAGACAGGGAAGAGCCTCCCTGTCCCTCACTTGCTCGTCACTGGTGAGTCACTGCTGAGGCATCGAGATTGATGTCCTCACTGGTTTTTTTTTGTTTGTTTTTTTTGTTGTTATTGGAAAGCTTGGGCCAATGGCGCATTGCCATTGGTCCAAGCCATCCACAGAGCTCATGCCTCTAAAACAGTGTAGAGGCTGTGACAGCTCTTGCCTCACTAAGTTAGGTTACACAAGCAGTGGGGAACCCTGCTGCTGTGTAACCTAACTGTCAAAAGCCGAATGTAGTGCCATCTGTCATTAACAGGCAGTGCTCCGTCCATGAGAGGTTACACAGCGGGAAGGCTTTCCCTGCTGTGCAACCTGTAACAAGCCTCTTGGAATGGAGAAAAAGCTGTCAGCTTCAGACTTGAAGCTGACAGGTTTTTCCTCCATAATACTAAGTGAGGCTCTGCCTCACCTGCCTCCCTGACCGCACATCCCTGGTGCTAAGCCTTGTATAAGCTGCAAGTCACAACTAATCTGTGATATTTGTGGTCACAGTGAAATTTAGCACATATGGTCATCCTCCAGCTGAGTCACATTTTAGGGAATCTCTCCCTAAAACTAAAGTTGAGAAACAAAGTTGATTGCATATTAAATTATACTACATTACAAAGCCTTAAACTCATGCTACATACATCTCCAGTAACAGAAAACGATTAGAGTCTCACATTAATACCCGCGGTTATAGACCAGCTACTGTAAATATGCTATGATAAAATTAGGATGCTCTATTGGTCCATTACCGTAATGTTAAAATACTACAGGGAAATAGTACTGTATTTGAGCTGCTGAAAACATTAAGAGGCAAATTGTAGACATTGCTGGCAGCAGATTATAACTATTTTTCCAGATCAGTCTGGAAGACTCTCAGCTTTCTTCTGCTTTATTATTCCTTTGTGTGTATTCTGGTACCTATTAATTCCCACACTCTACTGTGTCTGAATCACAAATCCAGAGGCGCAATTGGAAAAATACCTCATTTACAAGCAGACCTGCGGTTAATACATTGTACACTTTTTTATTATTAAAATAACTGATTTTTTTGTTAATTCTAATCATGACAAACTTTTTTCATGAGGGTTTATTTTGGCCACCTTCTACTGGGCAAAGCAGCTGTCCAGTAGAAGGCAATATTTAGCTCCCTATTATTGTTGAGGGACAATAAAAATTCTGCAAGGTTTTCTAATCTGTCCCATCAATGTTCTCTTTGAGGCTGGCCTGTGGCTGACTACCTACCACCATAGACATGAGATCATCTACTGATCCAGCCAGAAACGTCTGTCCTCCTACATTTATGAAGCGATACAAAAATTCCACAGCACACTATCCAGCTAGTCAGCACAAAAAAAAAGAAATCAAACTGTTTCAACATCTCAGGTAAAAACAGGTTTTTGCTGCATACATTTGCAAATACATGAAGCCACACTGACCTGTCGAGGCACCTCTGCAAAGTGTGGTTATCAGTATCTCTAAACTTACAGGGTTATTCACAAAAGGGTGAAGAGTTTGGAGAAGACAGGAGAAGAACAATCTAGGCCAAGTGAGCTGAATTGGAGATTTTTTTTTAAAATCAGTTATTTTGGCCTAGATTGTTCACTTCTCCTGCCTTCTCCAAACTCTTCACCCTTTTGTGAATAATCCTGTTAGTTTTCCCAACTATGGGAAATACATTGCAATACATACATTGAGAGCAGGTCTCCAGGAGCAGTGGCGGAACTACCGCCGGTGCGGCTGGAGCGGGAGCACCAGGGCCTCTAACACTGTCCAGGAGGTAGCCCCCTCCTCCTCAAAGGTACAGCAGAGGTCCTACATTGATCAAGAAAGTTGAATCTCCCTAGTGTGTTTCTGCGCCAAATCCAACAAAGCAAAAAATGGCAGGTACAGTACTTAGCTCAATATAGAACTGGCAAAAAAAGTGAAAGGTGGACTGTGGCAGCTTTAGGCTGCGCAAATTACACTAGAAAGCATTAGGATGACGTAATTGTGAGTGGAACACAGCCAGACTGGCTCTCAGTGTTTGCACTCCTGCACTCTGTATGTGGAAGTTTTTCTGAAGACAAATTTCAGGAAATGATACTAGCAGTATTTAAAAATAAATGTAAATTATTTTTATCATGAAGTTCTGCTTTAGTGGTACAAAATGTTATCTGTTGGGAAACGTCATATTTAATCATAGCTAGTTTAAAAAGATGGATGGTTTTTCTCTGACCTAACCAGAAAAGAGTGTTAAAATACTGGAATTATTCTGAGCTGGGAATGGCATTTAGCATAAAGATCTCTTTCTCACCACATAACAGAACTTCAACGCAATTTGGTCAGGTGTCTATAAATAAACTGCTAACTTGTCTAAAATATTAATATCTGCAATAAAATGTACAGTTTAGAAAAACATTAGTCATTGTGTCAACTGGATATATACTTATATTTATGCTTTGAGATATCTGACTTAGTGAACAGCAGCAGTAACATAACCAGATGTAAAGCAATAAAATAGCTTAGTAGAGTTCCAAAGTTGTAAAGCCATGTAGCTAGTCCAGTCTGACCTACGTTTGCCCCCAGATACAGAAGCATTTACACCAAGTACTCACAGGTCCCATCTTCAAGTCTTGCAGAATATCATCAAAATACTGAAATTCAGAGATCTCTAACTCCACCAGCTCTTCTTTTAGCTCTAGAACACGTCCCATGACACCATCCAGGACCAGGCTCACCAACCGTCTCTTCTGTGGATGTGTTATCTGATCATAAGCTAACTCAAGGTTGCGGAAGATCTGCAGGTATTTGACATACAAGGTCCCAAGTTGCTGGGCAACTACCATGCGATCCCTTTCAGGTTTTGGTGGTACAGCTGGCATCTCCTGCCGGAGCAGCAGACTGAGGTTTTGTTGGGCCTCCACCCACATTTTGTTGTAGATTCTACAGAACAAAGAAGCAAGGTTAGAGTTATCAGCAACAAAGAATTAATATTGGCCTACAAAATGGTATTGTGCATATAATCAACACATTTCTATTCCACACCAGAGTCTTCCTAAAAGAAAATGCATTTAAATGTCACAAAAATGTAAAACATATAGAGGGGAATTTATCAAAACTGGAGCAGACAAAATCTGGAGCAGCTGTGCATGGCAGCCAATTAGTTTTTCTTTTCAGTTTGTTCAGTTAAGATTTGAAAATGAAAGCGTGAAGCTGATTGGTTGCCGTGCACAGCTGCTCCAATTTTTGTCTGCTCCAGTTTTGATAAATACTTTTCACAGAATGTATTCTTAATCATGGAACAGTGCATGAAACCATGCAAATTCCCTTTTAATGCCCCCTGGCCAACTGTACACTCAGAACTACATATAGGCTTATAGAACAGATACAAATATTAGACAGTATTCTTCTTCAATACCAGCAGATCTGGATACATAGTAGCCCCCCC